AGTATGCAAGTCAGGTTCACCCACGTGCCATAGTCCTTCGCGGCCACGCGTCAACCCCTCGCACTCAGCACCAGCTCGTCGGATCGCCCAACTCTCATGCTCACTCACCTTTCAAACTTGCTCGTTAGCCGACCCTCACTGATCGCGCGAACCTCGAGATTCTTAGAGAGACAACTAATCGCCCTTGCGAAATTTATAGCATGCATGCTTGCACTAAGGATACGAAATTAGCCTAAGTGATAAGCAAGAGAAGAAAGGAAGTGCCCACGTCTGCATGGCTGGGCCGTGGCGTGGGGGACGCAGCCTCACTCCACGCTTTGATCCAGTCATGCACGAATTTGGCCAATGAGGTAGAGAATGGAGAGCGCAGACAGTGACGCAGAAAGGAATATCAAGAAATGGAAGATTACAGTTACACCTGCGTAAGCAAAGAAAGAGCAAGGAGAGATTACACTTGAGTTTAGGCGCGGTGGGATCAGAGCGTAGATCTGGGTGCAGCATAGCACGCGCAAGCGAGAAGCGATGTGCAGTTACATGCAAAAATTACGGCGCACCCAATTTCTTAGTCTAAATCCTTATTACAAAAGAAAATTTCACAAGAAAACAATTCCGAGAGCCTGCGGGGGCTCGTCATTAGTTCAAATTTTAAAAACGAAACTTCTCGCGCGCTAATCGCCCCAAAATTCCTAGTGCTCACAGCAGAACAAAAAAGAAGCTATGACAACCATTATTTCTCGCGCTTGCTGGGGCGCGATCACTTAATCGTCGGCGTGGGACTTTCCCGGTGTGGCGGACCCACCAGGTGTGGTGCTCCGCCTGGGACAGAGATGGAGATGGAGGAAGAAGGGTAGCGAGATGGTAGAGCGCAGCTCCCACGCCAGACTCCAACGCACGTACTCCAAACTGTGCGAATGCAGAATGAATCCGAAAACAGATAACAAATGCGGTATAACCCAGCTGACTGGCGACGTACGCAACGTACTCAAGCTTTAAATCAATGTCCTCAAAAGCAGGGAGTATGCCTTCGTGTTTCTACAAGAACACCAAAAGAACCCAACTCAGCTTCACGCAAAATAGTTGAAGTGAGATTAACCAATCGAAATGAGGTTATTGCATACATTCCGGGAGAAGGCCATAATTTACAAGAGCACTCTATTGTTATGGTTCGAGGAGGTAGAGTCAAAGATTTGCCTGGTTTAAAATACCATTGTATTCGAGGAGTGAAAGACTTACAAGGAATTCCTAATCGACGTTGAGGCAGATCAAAATATGGTACCGAAAAAACCCAAATTGAAATATGAACCGAAAAATCTCACAAGTCTCACTCTTCGAGCCTTTGATTTTAGAGAATTGCAAGGTACAACAATTGATACACAAATTTATCAACATTTGTATGATTCATGGGAAAAAAACAAAATCTCATGCAACTGTTTATAAAACTTTCTATTGTCTAGCTACCTTCGATAATTCCACATGAAAAACCAATTAAAAGGTAACCTACATGGCCAATAAAACTATAAGATAAAAGTTTTTTCACTTTGTTTTGAGTCATTGCGGCTAATGCTCCTAATATCATGGAAGCAATACTGCAAAAAAAGAAGATTGTTTGCCATGTTGGATCATAAAAACTAAAAAGAAACACACGTAACATATTTGCAAGAACAACAATCTTAGGTGTTATAAAAAAGAAAGCACGCTTCCGCCAAAAAACGAAACTATAACAAAGAAAATAAAACTTGAGTAGTCTAGGATGCGGAGCAAGCTCCATGCTGAGTCCATGCGATGCAACCTTGGATAAAAAATGTCACAAAAACAGCAATGTCACACCTAATAGCCTACGTGAAAGCAAAAGCAACTAACTAGCATACGTGTCCGAGGAAAGCAGAAAGTAATGACAACTAGGTCCTAGAATCTTGGAGGCAGTAGCCTCAGTCTGGAAACAACTGACTAGTGTATAAATCATAAGAACGGCAAAAGTAGAACAACTAAATCCTAGAAATGTCAGAGGCAGTAGCCTCAGTCTGAGAGCAACAAAGCACCAACGAGGGAACCATATATCACAGGAGAAGTGTGTCGCAAACCAAAGGGTGAGATGGTCTCTGAGGGTGGCTAATGCAGCCTAGGGGTCGATAACTCCTAAGGGCATCCACACATAAATAATAGGGAGACACATGTCATCAGGCTCAATGAGTGTAGGGAACTGGGAGCGAACAGAACCAATGACCCTAACAAATAAACCATCAGGGCGGGTAATGCTCGAGTAAAGGGGTGACCGCTATGCAAGGTCGACCATGCAAGGGAACAAGGGAGCCTAGTATACTGGGCGCACCTAGATGAAGCATGCGAGGTTGCCTAACTAGGGTGTGGAGGACGGCAAAGGGTAGAAAAAGTGATGGGTAAGGGAATCATGCAAATGACTTCTAAAGTGAGGGAAGTCGGAGCTAGATCCGTAAGCTGGGAAGCCAGGGCAACTCTACGGTCCCGATGCCTATGCGTATTA